ATTACTATCCTAAAAGGGCTCATAGCATTTCCTTAAGTGAGCAAACTTATAAAACCCAGGGAATTATTAAGGTTATATGTTAGCTTCATTCTATCTGGCCTACTGCCCTGAGTCATCAATGTTCTCCTAAATGTGGGCAACCAAGAGAAATCTTGTTTTCCAGGCTTTTGAAGAACAATTCACCCTATCTACCACTCCTCTGCTGCTAGACCTGAAATAGGGAGGAAAGTAGAATGTTTGGAAAAGATTAGTTCAGGTTGGATGTTGACTCAGGGAACAGAGGAAGAACTTCCAGGGTCAGAGAAAGTCATGAAGTGATGATTCTCTAGAGGAAAAATGCCTTTGTGACCACACGTTTGTGTCAGCCTATGTCAACACTTCATGCTCCCTCTATTCCACATGAACTCATCAAGGACTGGCCACTCACTGATCCACCCTGTGTGGTAAGCAGTTACCATTACTCATTCATTCAACAAATATGGGGAGTATGCAGGACAGAAGTATTAAAGGTACCATATTAGGAGACATGAAGTATATTCTACTTTAAACTTATCCTCAATGATCTAGAAAGACAGATTACTAGATACAAGAAAAGCAGATGATATAATGGTTACATCACTGGACTCCCACATAGCTGACTGTGGTTTGAGTCCCAGACCCAGGGGCTTGAAAGTCACACTGTGTGTGTGTGTGTGTGCCCAAAACCCCAAGAGAAGAATGGAGGAGAAGGGATTATGGCATGGCCATTCCCCCTGAGGAGTAATTTCTCACTTTTTCTGTCTCTCTGTCTCTCTGGCAAGCACATATGCCCTATAGCAAAAATCTCTCTCTAAAAAAAAAAAAAAGGAAGGCCCCCTACAGGGGCCAGTAGGTGGCATGGTGATTAAGGATGTTAGAGTCCCACATGGCTGATAGTGGTTCAAGTCCTGTTCCTGGTGGCTTGATTTCTCAGTTTCCCTCTCTTTGTCTCTCACTCTGTCTCTCTCTGGTCAAATGAAATAAATAAAATAAGTTTTTTGAATTAATTATTTATTTTGCATTCATTCACTGAACATTATCACAGCATACAAGATGCAATTTACCATCTAGAATAGTGGCTTAGTCATACATGTTATCACAAATAATTTTCCATTTCATATATGTGTATATATATAATATATACCTAATATATATGATATGTATGCATATTTTATATATATGTGTATATATATACATGCATATATATCCCCCATTTCTCACCCTCTGCCATATCTCACCCTCCTCCCACTCTATCTCTGGCATCTGCAGTTGCTTTCCATTCCTTTTTTTTTCTCCCACATTTTATTGGTTAACAAAATAACTTAATTGATCTAACTACTTTCAATAGCAAGTCCGACTGATATATAAATATCTATTAACAAATATTTGCCTTTCAGCATGAAACTGTGAGTAGAATGAATATACAATAAAATAGCACCTAGTTGAGGCTATATAGCTTACTGTGGTTGTTAAATAGGTATTTATAATATTTTTTTAATTCAAGAAAGGCAGTTTTAGCTATAATAAATCAAAATAAAAAAGTTAAGAGAACTTTGCTTAAGACTTAAAGCCAGGAAGCAGGTTAGGATTCTGTTCAAATAGTAGTTACCTGGATCTGTTGACAATTCAAGAGAAGACAAAAATTCTTATCTCTGGACTACAAAGCATAGAAAAAGATTAGAATTGTTTTAATGAAAAGCCATAAAATTATATTTCATCAGCTCAGTCTCAGGTACTTAATTTAACTTCTATTGTGGTCCAAGCTTTCTGTTTAAATTCTGGAAGATAATATTCAACTCTGGACTTGTCTCTACCATTAAGCTGGCCCTTTTCTAAGATTTTTTTTTTTTAACTCTTATTTCTGTGTGTCTGACTTTAGTTTTCCTGATATAACACTCCCTTTAGAACTTCTTGGGGAACTGATCTGGTGTTGATTAATTCTTAATTTTTTTTAAAAAAGTAAATGCAGATTATCAGATGGTAGGTAGGTATATAACATGGTAGGTAAAATAAAAGGTAGAAAATTAAAAGTTAAAAAGAGTCGAAGGAACTGGGAGACCAAGAGAATGGGATATCATTGTTACCAGCAGGCAGAATATCACCAGGATTAAGAAGCTTTGGGAGTAAAGAGTTCCAAATCCCAGAATTACCCCTTGCTAATTATATGACTATTGGCCTCAGTCTCTTTACTTTGTTGATTTTTGTGAGAGTTAAATGAGAAAAATGTGTGTGGAACTCTTAGCGCAGAGCCTGACATGCAAGTGACCAGTGCTCTCAGCTCAACTCCACAGGCCAGACACCTGCAAGAGTTTTCAAAAGCCGCATGTGTCCGGGTGTTACTTGGCATGAAACTTACTTTAGCTCATCTTAAACAAGAAATAAATGTATGAGGAAGACACCGAAGACACAGAGCACTCACCGAATGGAATGAAATCAGAAGAGCCTGGCTTGGTGATGCAGCAGGTTGACTCTGGGGCCTCTGAGTGGGCACAGCAGTTATTTCAAGGGAGCCTCGCCAGAGAAATCAATTCCAGTGAATGTTCATTTTTGGTTTGCTCTGTTCAAGATTTTCATTCTGGGAGAGTCTGGTGGCTTTTCTACATTGAATATTTGTGTCTTCCCAAAATGCATGTTACTGAAATCTAACCCCCAGGGTAATGACATTTGGAGGTGGGTCCTTGGGAGGGGAGTAGGTCATGAAGGCAGAGACCTCCTGAGTGACTTGTTGTCTTTCCACCCCATGAAGACCCAACAGAAGTCAGTCTGCAGCCTGGTAGAGGGTCCTTGCCAGCACTCAACCAGCCTGGCACCCCAATCGCACACATCCAGCCTCCAGAACTGGGAGAAGCAAATTTCTGCTGTTCGTAAGCCACCCAGCCTGTGGTTCTTGTTACAACAACTCACATGAGGACCTTGGCGATGCTTAGTATCATGGCTACATCTTGGAGGGAAATTGGGGGGGGGCACCTTTATTAACACCCCTTCCAAACAGTGTGTGAGACTGGGGTATCGCTTTCAGAGGAGATGAAGTCATTCCGTCTGAATTGCTAATGAGTGTTGACCAGAAGAAAAACAGGGTTGTTCACAACACAGTGTCCATCCTATCCTTGAGAACTGGACCCCAATCTATGTCTGGAACACGGGCAAGTATATTTTTCAAAAGCTTCACAAGTAATTCAGAGATACACCAAAGGAGATAATGACTGAAAAATCACTGTGGAAGCAAGGAGCATTATTAGTTCTTAAGATGGAAGAGGAGGTGGGTACAAAGTTGAATAACACATCATTCTGTGATATCTTGTATAGCAGTGTTATAACAAGTGTGACTTGAGTCCTCTTCCTTCCTTTTTTCAGACATTTTTGCCTTAGGGTGCATGCACTCACCAGAGAGAAACAGACAGATAGACAAAGTGAGAGAGAAAGTGAGAAATCACCCCCTAGGGGGGATGGCCATGCCACAATCCCTTCTCCATTCTCCTCTCGGAATCTTGGACACACACACACACACACACACACACACACACACACACCTGGTGTGATTTTGAAGCCACTGGGTCCGGGACTAGAACTGCAGTCAGCCTGTGGGAATCCAGCGACATAACTGCAATGCTATCTGCTGGTCCCTGAGCCCTCTTCCTTCTAATGAGGGCGATAAACAATGCTTGCAAAGCTACATGGTTATGTGCAAGGTTCTGAGGAAGCTTGGACCTTTCTTCCACATGACTATTTTGGTCTCTTATGATATTCACTGCACCAAGGTTGGTTCAAGGTCCCTAGGAGGTGAGTGATCCAAGAAGAAAGGGTTCTACCACTGACCCAGGTGAGGTGACTGTCCCTGTATTAGGGGTTATCACCCTGTCAGTGGCCCCTCCGATTGCAAGAGACCTATGAGTCATCCCAGGGAACGTTCAACTTTTTGGTTTCAGGGCCAGTCTCTTCCACAGGGGATTGGGCATCTGCCAGGTGACCCGTGGGAGGAACCTGCACTTTCTGAACTTTCCTGTGGAATTGGGGAGGGAAGAGGGAGCAACAGGCCTGGCAGTCTGCCAAGCAATATGGACTCATGGGATGTGCCTGACCAGCTCTGGGAGGTTGCCCAGTCCTGCTGGATTTGAACTTCAGGGTCTTTGAAGGACTAAACATTGCTCTAGACATTTTTCTCTAGGTCCATTAATCCTAATGACAAGCTCCAAAATTGCAAAAGAATTGCCCTTTGCCAGATCACAAGTATTTGTTGTCTGACATTAACAAACTGAGTTTGGCTTTTCTGTGTATAATTGGCACCCAAATATAGCTGAGGAGGAAAAAAAATAAAAAAAAGAAAGAAGAGACAGGGAGAGTTTTTTGGCTTCTCCTCTGGTTTACAAATTATATCATGACATCTATCACTTCCAATTTCTAAGAATGTCAGTTTGGAGCAGGCTTGCCTCTCTCTTTGCCATCCCATTCCCCTGCCCCCTCTAAACTCTTCCCTACTGATCTAGTCAACATTGAGCTCGTCTGTCATTGAACCTTTTGTCCCTAGCAGGGAAGAACTAACAGGGTAAGAGCACCAGTGGTGGGTGGGGAGTGCTTCCAGTCTCTTGCTTAATATGGCCTCCCTCTCTCTCCCCTTCACCAGGTCTAGTCTTCACTCTTCATCTTCTTCCAACCCTGAATCAAATGACCTATTTGATCATTTATTTTTGAGCACCTAGCATCATTTTGTTTTAAATATTATAGGTGCTTAATTTAAGATTTTTGAATTATTTATTTTATTTTATGTTTTTTTTTTTTTTTTTTTTTTTTTTTTTTTTTTAATTTTGCTATAGGGAACACATGCTCAACAGAGACAGAGAGAGAGGAAAAGTGAGAAAGCAAGCCACCAGGTCCAGGACTTGAACCATGGTCAGTGATGTAGGAGTCCAGCACCTTAATTACTATGCCACCTGCTGGCCCTTAATTATTGCTCTGTCATCCTCAAAATGTGGCTTCCAGAGTCCGAGTGGAGTGAGCGAGCCGAGTGGTTGTGTGGTACCTTGTCGGAAACTGGTAGCACTTGCAGCATGACTGACCAATTGACTGAAGAGCAGATTGCAGAATTCAAAGAAGCTTTTTCGCTATTTGACAAGGATGGTGATGGAACTATAACAACAAAGGAATTGGGAACTGTAATGAGGTCTCTTGGGCAGAATCCCACAGAAGCAGAGTTACAGGACATGATTAATGAAGTAGATGCTGATGGTAATGGCACAATTGACTTCCCTGAATTTCTGACAATGATGGCAAGAAAAATGAAAGACACAGACAGTGAAGAAGAAATTAGAGAAGCATTCCATGTGTTTGATAAGGATGGCAATGGCTGTATTAGTGCAGCAGAACTTCGCAATCTGATGACAAACCTTGGAGAAAAGTTAACAGATGAAGAAGTTGATGAAATGATCAGGGAAGCAGATATTGATGGTCAAGTAAACTATGAAGAGTTTGTACAAATGATGACAGCAAAGTGAAGACCATTGTACAGAATGTGTTAAATTTCTTGTACAAAATTGTTTATTTGCCTTTTCGTTGTTTATAACTTATCTGTAAAAGGTTTCTCCCTCCTGTCAAAAAGATATGCATGTATAGTAATTAGGACTCATTCCTCCATGTTTTCTTCCTTATCTTACTGTCATTGTCCTGAGACCTTATTTTAGAAAATTGATCAAGTAACATGTTGCATGTGGCTTACTCTGGATATATCTAAGCCCTTCTGCACATCTAAACTTAGATGGAGTTGGTCAAATGAGGGAACATCTAGGTTATGCCTTTTTAAAGCAGTTTTCTTTAGGAACTATCAGCATGTTGTTGAAGTGTGGAGTTGTAACTCTGCGTGGACTATGGACAGTCAACAATATGTGCTTAAAAGTTGCACTATTGCAAAACGGGTGTATTATCCAGGTACTCGTACACTATTTTTTTGTACTGCCAGTCCTGTACCAGAAACATTTTCTTTTATTGTTACTTGCCTTTTAAACTTTGTTTAGCCACTTAAAGAAAATCTGCTTATTGCACAATTTGCCTCAAATCCATTCCAAGTTGTATATTTGTTTTCCAATAAAAAAAAATTACAATTTTAAAAAAAAATGTGGCTTCCACACTGTAGCCCAGGAAGCCTCATTTAGCCTCAGCTGCCAGTCCACACTACATCCAGGAAAGGAGGGAAGGAAAGGGCTGTTCTATTTATTTAGCTAGTTGATTTATAACATTTATTTCTTCCATAAGAGTGAGACATACGCGCGCACACACACACACACACACACACACACCTCCAATAGATCTTCAAACTGTAATCTATGCTCAACTTCAGCCCACCAGGATCATGGCTCAGTATGTACAGGGAGACCACAGGATGTGACCCAGGGATCTTCCACATGGCCTCAGCATCACAGAACATTCCATTTCTGCCATGCCCCTGTTGCTATGCTTTTTAATACCCCAAACTAGCAGTTGACTTTTCCCACATTCCATTTTCTAAAACCTTGTCAAAAAGCCACACCTACTACTTGCAAGATGGTCTGATAAATGAAGCCCTTCGCTGTAGCTGTGTGCCCAGACAACACTTCTGTTATGGCAGAGTCTGCAAGGTACAGATAGGGGTGGACAACTTGCAAATAACCTTTTAAAGTTTTTAAAAAGCTTCTTTAATTATTTCTTCCATGAGAGGCAGAGACACAGAGAGAGAGATACAGAGAGATAGGCACCCCCAACAGAGTCACAATGCTACATTCCAACTCCTGTTTCAGACAGCCTAGACTATGGGCATACACACTTGTCTAGTGTGCGCAGGGAGTCCTGGGCTGGTTGGTTGCCATCCCAGAACCTCTCCCATGTGGCTCCAGTTGCACTTACTGCTGCTACAGCTCCTGGCCAAGAGCCCACCTCTTGATGGAACCAAGCACATGGGATGGCAGAAGCTGTGACCATCAGACTGAAAAATGCAGTCTGTCACAGCCCAGAATTCAGTTCCTACAGGAAAAGAAAATGAATGTCTGGCTCTTTCCACTTAATTATCAATATTCAGAGTAAGAAACCAATGAAGTAGGCGTTGGGAATTGTGACAAATTAAGATGTTTTTATGAGTGGTGAGGGTGAAACTTTCTTCTTCTTGACTAAAGTTATGAACACATTCACATTGCTTTTCAGAAAACATTCAATATCATTTAATATATCTTTTTTTTTCTTTTGGGAGAGATTTTTGCTATAGGGTGCATGCACTTGCTGGAGAGACAGAGAGAGACAGACAGAAGGCAAGAAAGCACTCCCCTCCCCAGGGGGATGGCCACACTGCAACCCCTTCTCCTCCATTCTCCTCTTGTGATTTTGGGCACATGTGCACATGCGTCCAGCATGAGTTTAAGTCACTGGGTCTAGGACTTGAACTGTGGTTGACTACATGGGAGTCCAGCAATGTAACCATCATGCCATCTGTTGGTCTCTCAATCTACTCTTTTTTATGTGCAGATTGTTGCAGCTCTGGCTCATGCAAGCCATTGCAAACTGTTTTCTATGTCTTTTGAATAGTAATTCATTGGCCTTTGACACTTCATGGCTTTCTGTTATACCACAATGTCTCAGGCTCATATTATACATTCCCTGCTCTATTCCTGCAATTAGCCATTTCTTCTAGAAACTCCTGTTCCTTCTAATAAAGAATGATATTTAGAAACCAAATCCGAACATTAAGTATGTTCAGTAGTTACAGGGTGAGTGTTGTTTCCAGGGTTTTTCAGTAATTAGAGCAAAGAAAAAGCTTTACATTCTTTAAGAATATGTATGTATGCCTGGGTATAAAACTTTAAAATCCTATTTATGTTAATATTTCTAATTCAAATTTAAATATTATAGAATGCTTACATATCTATGATTTTGTATTTTTATGTTTTCTTCTTTTATACTAATTATAAAATAAATCTTACACTGTAAAACTATCTTAACCAAAAGTTTAAGAAATCAATGCTAATTTTACTTTTCTTAGAACAAGTAATATCAATAAAAATGAAGTTTAATTTTTATTTTTAGAGGATTTTGCTACAGCGCATGTGCACTTGCCAGAAACAGAGATAAAGAAAGCGAAAAATCACTCCTCAGGGGGATGGCCATGCCGCAATCCCTTCTCCTCCATTCTCCTCTCAGGAACTTGGACACATGCACACATGCACCCAGCGTGAATTTAAGCCACTGGGTCCGGGACTCAAACTGCAGTCAACTACATGGGAGTACAGTGATATAGCCATTACACCAACTACTGGTCCCGAAGTTTAACATTTTAAAAAATAACTTTAATTATGTTTGTTTTTTCTTTATTTCATCTTAGACCATATTGCAGCAAGCTTGTGTAACAGATGAACCATGTTTCAAGTACACTCAGATGAATCTTGCTTCTCTCTGTTCCTCTATCTCATTTCTTCTCAGCCTTTAGATAATTATTTTTATTAGATTTCAATTTATGCCTCCAGGGTTTCTTTTTACAAAAACAAGCAGCTATGTATGTGTGCATATATGAGCATATATTTCTACTCATACTCTCACTTCTTTTCTTACACAAATGTAGCATATTATTTGTATTTTTCTGCATCTTGCTTTTTTCAGAGTATATTCTAAAGATCACTCAACAAAACTTTTAGAGGCTATAGAAGCATGGAAAATGGTGACAGATACTGGAGACAGTGTGGGAAGAGGTTAGGAGAAGGGGAAGAGTATGAGGAAAGATAATAAGGAGAAAACTAGAAAAGCAAGACATTTATGGGACACAGAAATGGATTATGTTGATAATGTGTATAGTACCCTCAACTGGACTGGTATAAAGTGTATTCATGTTGAGTAAATTCACTTTACAAGCTAAGTGATGTATAGTGATGGAATGTATAAAATAAATTAAAATTAAGGGACCAGCAGTTAGCGTAATGGCTATGTTGCTGGACTCCCATGTAGTCGACCGCAGTTCGTGTCCCGGACCCGGCAGCTTAAACTCACACCAGGCATGTGTGCATGTGTGCCCAGGATCCCGAGAGGAGAATGGAGGAGAAGGGATTGCGGCATGGCCATCCCCCCCGGGGGTGCGCTTTCTGTCTCTCTGTCTCTCTCTGTCTTTCTGGTGAGCGCACACATCCTATAGCAAAAAAAAAACCTCTCCAAATAAATAAATAAATAAAAATAAGTTAAAATTAAATTAAAAAAAATACTTTCAGAATTTTTTCTTATCTTTTTCCTAGCTGCAGGCATTCCATTATATGAATTTACAACAGTTTATTTAAACAATGCAGTGATGATGGAGATTGAGGTTGATTCCAATGCTTTTACTGCAAATATTATTTTGTATTTATGCTACTGTATCTCTGGGATAGATGTCTAGAATTAGGATGGCCAGATCCAAGGGTCAGTGTGTGTGTAATTTGCCGATGTTGCCAATTCCCCTTTATCAGGGCTGTTTCATATTCCAAGGATCAAGGAAAGAGACGCCAATTCCACATAGTCTTGTCATCAGAATATGTTATCGAACTTTTGGATTTTTTCCAATCTGATAGTTGAAAAATGCTGTTTTGGTATACTGTCATTTTGCATTTCTATAGTTATGAGAGTGCTTTCATATGCTTAAAGGCTTTTTAAATTTAATTTAATTTGCTTTAGGTTGCCTGTGCTTGCTGGGGAGAGAGAGAAGAGAGAGAGAGAGAAAGTGAGAAAGCACACACACCTCCCCCCCACCACCAAGAGGGATGGCCATGCTGAATCCCTTCTTCACTTCTTCACTCTCCCTTTGGAATTTTGGGCATGCGTGCACAAACGCTTAGCGTGTTTTTCAAGCCACCAGGTCCAAGATTTGAACTGGCAGTTGGCCATGTGGGATCCAGTTGCCTTAACCACCACACCACCCGCTGATTCATTTTTATTTCCTTTTATGAGTCCTGTCTCGTATGTCTGTTAATGACTTTTGCTTATTATTCTATTAAACTGTTGGTCCTTTTCTTTCTCCAGTATCTAAGATTGCTATTTTGCCATTCAATGTTGTTGAATTTATCAACATTTCCTTTTATTGATTCTGATTTTCAGCCAAAGTTAGAAAGATTTATCTTATTACCAGGTTGTAGGAATTCATCCATATCTGTCTACTATTGGTACTCTCCCTTTCTGTCTCTCTGTCTCTCTTTGTCTTTCGGGCGAGCGCACGCGCCCTATAGCAAAAAAAAAACAAAAAAAAAACCTCTCCAAATAAATAAATAAATAAAAATAAGTTAAAATTAAATTAAAAAAAATACTTTCAGAATTTTTTCTTATCTTTTTCCTAGCTGCAGGCATTCCATTATATGAATTTACAACAGTTTATTTAAACAATGCAGTGATGATGGAGATTGAGGTTGATTCCAATGCTTTTACTGCAAATATTATTTTGTATTTATGCTACTGTATCTCTGGGATAGATGTCTAGAATTAGGATGGCCAGATCCAAGGGTCAGTGTGTGTGTAATTTGCCGATGTTGCCAATTCCCCTTTATCAGGGCTGTTTCATATTCCAAGGATCAAGGAAAGAGACGCCAATTCCACATAGTCTTGTCATCAGAATATGTTATCGAACTTTTGGATTTTTTCCAATCTGATAGTTGAAAAATGCTGTTTTGGTATACTGTCATTTTGCATTTCTATAGTTATGAGAGTGCTTTCATATGCTTAAAGGCTTTTTAAATTTAATTTAATTTGCTTTAGGTTGCCTGTGCTTGCTGGGGAGAGAGAGAAGAGAGAG